TGTGGGATCCTCCCGGACCGGGGCACGAACCCGTGTCCCCTGCATCGGCAGGCGGACTCTCAACCACTGTGCCACCAGGGAAGCCCCTTTATTAGTTATTTTAAGTATTATAGCTATATATTTTATAAGCCCCTCAAGACAGTGTCATTTCTTATAATGCAGGTTTTCTAGTAATGAATTCTTAATTTCTCCTTACCTGAAATTCTCTCTAGTTCACTTTCATTCTTAAAGGATATTTTTACTTGATATAGAATTGTGGGTTGACAGTGGCCCCACCCCCAGCCCCCCACAAGAACTTTAAAGATGTTGTTCCATTCTTTTCATGCTTCCATAGTTTCTGATGGAAAGTCAGCCATAAATCAAATACAGTTGACCCTTGAACAACATGAGGGTTAGGGGCACTGCCCACCACCCTCAAGCAGTTGAAAATGTATGTATAACTTAATTTTTTTTAATTTATTTTTTAAAATTTATTTTTGGCTGTGTTGGGTCTTCGTTGCTGCACGTGGGTTTTCTCTAGTCGCGGCGAGTGGGGTCTACTCTTCGCTGTGGTGTGCGGGCTTCTCACTGCGGTGGCTTCTCGTTGCAGAGCAAGGGTTCTAGGTGCACGGGCTTCAGGAGTTGCGGTACGCAGGCTTCAGTAGTTGCAGTGCGTGGGCTCTAGAGCTCAGACTCAGTAGTTGTGGCGCACAAGCTTAGTTGCTCTGTGGCATATGGGATCTTCCCGGAGCAGGGCTCGAACCTGTGTCTCCTGCATTGGCAGGAGGATTCTTAACCACTGTGCCACCAGGGAAGCCCCACGTGTAACTTTATAGTTGGCCCTCCATATCCATGGTTCCAGCCAACCACAGATTGTATAGTACTGTACTATGTATTTATTGAAAGAAATCTGTGTATAATGGACCTGTGCAGTTTAAACCGTGTTGTTCAAGGGTCAAAGGTCATTGTTAAAGGGTCAACGGTAGTTGTTACCCTGTGTGTATGGTACTGCTTTGCTCTTGATGCTTTCAAGATTTGGTCTTTAAATTTGGCTTCCAGCAATTTGACTGGGATATGATGAGGCCTTCTGTTTATCCCATTTGGTGTTCACTGAGCATCTCAAAGCTGTAAACTTGTCTTTCATCATATTTGTAAAAAATTTGACCAGTATTTCTTAAAATATTTTACCTGCCTCATTCCTTTCTCTCGTCTCCTGGGACTCCTATCATACCCATGTTAGACTGTTTGATGTTAAATAACAGGTCTCTGAGGCTCTGTCCACCTTTTTTAACACATTATTGACCGGAGATGTATTAATACGTCTTTTGTTACCCGAACATTATTGACTGGAGACGTATTAATACATTTTTAGAGTGATACAATTAATATCACTGTGCGAAGTTGTTAGAGCTTAAAATTGATCAAGGGTTCATTATACAACTTATGATTGTCCTTATCATTCATACTTCTTCCTGTTAGGTTTTTGTTCCAACTTTGTGTCTATTATAAACATAAAATTTTCAAAAGTGACGCATCGCGAAATTTTGAGTGAAGAGTTTTTCAGTGAATTTTATGCATATACTTTCTCTGATTGTCTGAGCGACCTATATGCTAGTGTCTCAGAAGTTCTGATGGTACTTCAGAATACAGTTCTGATTCAGATGATGTGACTATTAGACCAACAAAAAGACAAAAAACCTTAGTGATTGATACTGATATGGAAAGTGAAAATGAAACTCATGGTGCTGGAGAATGCTCCTTTGCTTCTACAGAAGAGTGGATTGAAGACAACATTTCATGAAAATTAGAAGACTTTACAGGTGTGTCAGGTGTAAATACTGAATGTAATAACCCACAAAGTGTTAGTGAAATAACAATTTTTGGCCAGCCAAAATAAAAATTGCCAGCCACAGGCATTAATTTCTGCAAAAATCCCATGGTCAATAATGAGTTAAAATCTTTTTTTTTTTTCCTCTGTTATTCAGATTGGATAAATTCTATTGATCTTTCTTCAAGTTCACTTTTTTACCTCTGCCATCTCCATTCTGCTAAGATCTATAATATTTTTCATTTCAGACACTGTAATTTTCAGTTTTAGAATTTCCATTCATTAAAAAAAAAACATTTCTATATCTGCTTACATTCTTTATCTTTTCCTTCATTACAGGTATATTTTCTTTTACATTATTGATAGTTATAATAGTTGTTTTAAAATTTTGTGTGCAAATTCTAACATTCAAATCAGCTGGGGGTTGGTCTTAGCTGATTGCCTTTTTCCCTTGAGAAGGGGTCACATTTTCCTGATTCTTTGTACATTGCCGACTTATGAACGGCTGTCATGGATATCAAATCGTGGAGACTGTATTCTGTCACTTTTCTCAGATGAATGGTTTCTTTTGTTTTAGTAGGCGGTTAACCTGGGTTGGACTTGAACCTCAAAATGTTTCTTGGGCAGAAGTTCCAATCTCAGGTCAGATCTTTTGTCTTTAGCTGCTCTGCTACGACTCTACTCCCTACCTATGTGGCTTAGGGGTCAGCCAGAGATGTGGGCAGACAGAATCTGGGCATCTCCTCTCTCAGCTGAGAGCAACCCAGAAGGCAAAGAACCAGTCCTCTGGTTTCCCAAGGCATAAAGGCTGTGGTTTTTCTACCAGTAACCTCACCACTTAGCTTGACCCCAGAGTAAAAGCAGCAGAAAGAGGGAACTCATGCCATCTAACTCCCTCCCCTCAGTGCAGACTCATCAGAATATGACTCTTTCTAGTCACTCTTCAATGACTTCATAGAATTGCTTTTTCTGTTGTGACCAGGCTTTAGAGCTGTTATCTGTGGGAAGACTGAACTGGTAGGGCCTTACTTATTAGCCAGTAGTGGAATTGGAAGTCCGAGTAAATGTATTTTAAGAACCTCAGAATCCCTGGACTCTGATGCTCAGTGTGGTATATAGAGGAACCACAGCTAGCTCCTCATCCGAACAGAACTTGACTCCCTCAGTCTAGATGCATGAACCAGAGACAGACAAAGGGCAGGGATTCCAGTCAGCTTTCGTAGGTTAAGGTGAGAGGATGATTCTCTGTTGTCACACTGGTGAAGGAAATGGTACAGAGTAATAACCTATACGTGAGAGCCATACTTGGAAGGATTTTCTTGAAGATATGTTCCTTCTGGATGGACCAAGGGGAGCACAGCCTAGGCCAGCACTATCTGTTTCACTTCTTTTTGCAAATATCTAAACCTAGTTTCTGAAATGTGGCTTTTCCTCACATATAGGGGCCCTGGCTGGGTCTGGAACTAAAGGAACACTTTACAGTTAGTCACCTTCCTTCGGCAGTAAGTGGATGCGAGGAAGCACGTGGAAACTGTCTGCTTCCTCGAGGCGGCAGAGTCTGCCCGGGCACCCTGCATGCCCCGTGTGAGTGTGCCACACCAGGCACGCTGGCCGCCATGGAGCAGTGTCTGCAGCTGCTCGCTGGGGCGACCACATAGGTCAAGGTGGCCATGGCACGGCTGCCGCTTGCGCAGGAAGTGCTGAGTCCTTGGCCCCGCACACGCCCCTGCACGAGGGGGCCCCAGGGAGTTGCATGGGGACTGCGGGAGCAAGGGAAGCAGCACGACTCTCCCGGTGCATCTGCTGTGGCTGTGAGAGCAGCAGGTCTACCTCTGATCAGCGCACCTCTCCCTCCACTGTCAGCACCCATGCAGTGGCGTCAGGTTCACTCCCTGCCGGGGTTCTTTCTTGAAAGTGAGTTGAGTTTTAAGCTTTAAGTAGGCAGCGAGCCCAGGAGGAGCATTAGGCTGTCGTTTCTCGGCGCCCACCGGAGGCCAGGTGCTTTTACAAGCAGGAGCTCTATCTATCTTTTTCCATCTCTGGAATAGGTGCAGCTCCTCCTATTTTATCAAAGCAACAAGGCAGGCTCAGAGGAGAGGGACGCACGGTTACGAGGCAGGAATCAGTACATGGGGGGGGCCGGGAGGGCCTCAGTCTGTCCCTTCCGAAGTGCATCTGCTCAAAATATGAGCAGAGTTGCTTGCGTGAGCCTGCCTGCTGGAGCAGAGGGTGATGGGCAGTCTGGAAGGCCATCTGGGCAGGAGAGGGTCAGTTTGATGCTGGCCTGACAAATGGTGGCTTTAGAAAAGGGTCCTGTATAAAATACGTGCCCTGGTCACACATACACACATCTATCCCTAACACAACCCGCCTCTGGCCCCCAGGAGAAGTTAAAGACAAACACTGAAATTCTGAGTAAATAGGAACTGCAGGTTATATGGCTGCTGAAAACCACTGGGAGTCTCCAAAGTGAATGATATTTTGATTTTAAATAGCATTTAAAAGGCAAGCAAGGCTACTAGTCATGAAACTTGTGTCTCTCTTGAGGCAAGTCCATCTTAGACCGGGGCTTCAAGCTGAACAGGACCCACCACATCAGAGCTGCGGCCTCCTTACCTCTGGAAGGGAGGACTGGGCACTGCGCGTCTGCTTGATGGCTTCCTCGTAGCGGGGAGGGTCTTTCGTCTTGGGGACTGGGCTCCCAAACAGAGAGTGCTGGACGGCAAACTGCTGGGGCGGAGGGGGCGAGCCGGGCTGCGGCAGACAGAGGAGAGTCAGCCTGGCGGCAGGCTGGCCTCCCAGGGACCCTGGGCGGTGAGGCCGAGCCACCCCCACTGTGCTGATGGCTAAGCTGCCCCAGAACAAGTACTATCCCGGGACCTTCGGCTGTTTCCCCCCATTAATGCCGACACTCGGCCGTCCAGGCCCGAAGCCTGGGGCTCTAGGATGAACCTGCACCCTGTATGTGCTGGCACCACTGCCCCGTGGGCTGGGTTACCTTGTTGGGAGGGTTGGGGCCGTTCTGCAGGGACGGAAGTGGCGTGCTTCTGGGTTGAAGGATGCTGCTGTTTGTCTTGTTGATAAAGGGCTGCTGCACCGCTGGAGCCGGTGGTCTCTGATACGGAAGAACTGTATTGGATGCTGAGTTTGTGAAAACCTGTAATGAATAAATATTTGACCATCAATTTGTTCTCCTGCTCTTCCTAATAAAGAAAACCACATTTTAGAACAGGGGTTCGGGACTTCCCCGGTGGTGCAGTGGTTAAGAATCCGCCTGCCAACACAGGGGACATGGGTTCGAGCCCTGGTCCGGGAAGATCCCACATGCCACGGAGCAACTAAGCCCGTGCGCCACAACTACTGAAGCCTGCGCTCTAGAGCCCAACTACTGAGCCCAAGTGCAGCCAAAAAAAAAAAAAAAATAGAACAGGGGTTGGCAAATGATTTCTGTGAAAGCCACGGAGCATATAGTTTAGGGCCGGGCGCTGTGCAGCACCTGCTGTAACTGCTTGCCCTCCCCTGCAGCCCTGATGCAGCCCGGATGAGAGTGAGCGTGGGTGGCTCAGGACAGCTCCACCTACAGACACGGGCAGGGCTGGGTGTGGCCCACAGGCCGGGATTCCCCAGCGTCAGTGGTCTCTGTCGTGGACAGCAGCAGGGACAGTGCGCTGTGGGCAAGCTCAGTTTGATTCTCCTCATTTGCTCTCAGGGCTCTTTAGCTCACAGCTGCCAAGCCCACCTCTCTCGTCCAGCCTTGCTCCCAGGTGCCAAAGCCACACTTGTAACATTTACAAACACACATTTGGGACATCTCAAAGTTAATATGTTCCAAATTAAACTTTCCCCTCTCTGCTCACTGCCCCCAGCCTCTGCGCAAAAATAATTCTTGGTTTTGCCTTTATTTACTTTTGAAACTTAGGTAAAGGGAGCCCTCAGCGCTCACACGTCTCAGACACACCTCCTGGGTCAGGACCTGTGGTCTGCTGTCCTGATCCGGGTCCTCACTATCCATCACTGGAAAACTGCCACTGCTGTCTACCTGCGCCTACCTGCCCATCAGCCCTCTGCCATGATGACAGTCTCAACACACACACACACACACACACACACACACACACACACACACACACACACACACACACACACACACACACACA